AGCAGGATATAACATTTTGCTCTGCTTCTGCCTCCCTCAGAATGTTTTCAAATGCTGTTGAAGTAGCTGACACATTTCATCATGGATATGGTTGTATATCAGTCGTGTATGTAATGAATCCATGCCTGCTTTGCATATTACTATTAATTTATGAGGTCTCATAGAAGAGTTCAAACTAAAGATCTGAGGAAAAACCCAGAAGCAAAATCACTTAGGCTTGATGCTAACCTGCCAATTTACTGATACTTTTTATTACTCAAGAAGCATTTAGTCTTAGAAAAAGGACATCCAGCAGATAAATAATTTATTCACATAGGCTTGAACTAAATGATACTTAGTATTTTGGGGGTATGTAAAGATGTCTACATATCTTAGAGACTACAGTGTCATAAAACAGAGCAAGGAATGTTGTGTCATGACAGAAGCATTTGTACCAGTGCCAAAAAGAATAAATACCCATCAGGTTTTGGCATAATTTTTAGACATACTAACAAAGTTATAGTAAAAAACATGCTTTTCAAAGAACTGTGGATCTTTGGTATTGTATGTTTTAAAAATTTAATTGTAATTTAAACTAGTAATTGTTAGTCAGAGGTATAAATAAATAGCATTACAAATCATCTCCTCCCTTCAGGGAGCTGAGTGGAAACCCAGCTTTTAATAGTGTTTTTCTTCTGGAAATTTCATCCCAGTCCTCCCTTTTTTTAAACAAATTTGGACTCAGTAAGTTTAACCCATCTTTAGATGAAGCCAGTCAAACAGATTAAGAGAAAAGCAAACAAAAAAAATAATTAAAGTTACACGTGATTTCAAAAGTAAGAGAGGACAAAAGGCACCTAGATCATGTAGGTTAGAAGTTCCTAAATCATATTGCACTTGGTCTTTCAATAGGGGTTAATTATAATTGGGAGAGAAAAAGTGTAGGGGATGGAATAACTAATTTACCTGCTCTCTGGGACATTTTAGGCCAGAATCTTCCCTCCCCAGAATGCAGCAATACCACTGTTACTCTTATGCTGAGACATAATGCAACAAAGGCTACATAGGTATAGTCTTCTGAAGACACAAAAAATACTAAAGAATATCTATACATTTTGGTTCCAGTGATGCAAAAAGTCTAAAAGCAGTCAAAACACAATAAATAGTCTTGAAAATAAGAAAAAAACCACACAGTATACATATATTTTCTGAGGGCAAAGAGAAAAAGTATGTTTGCCAAGAAAAAAAGACAGACTCCAAAACCGATTACGAAGGGTAGCTACGAAGATTTTCCATGGTGGCTAATTGTCGCCTGGGGTCACTATGATGTGATGCAGTGTTAACACAAGTTTTGGGGCTGGGTCTCTTTCTTCTGTCTTGTGTCATAATTTTCCAGCAATTTTTCTTACAAACAGTGGAGTCACAAAATGCAACACTGAAGGTTACTTTTACTTTGCTATCCTGAAATCAGATTACTAGCATTTTGGCTAAGGATCATATCTGATATTGTGTGACAGGTTGTTTCTATCGAAATATGCAATGTGCTAAGATGGGCCTGAAATGCTTACTGGCTCTTAGTTCTGTAATGTCTTTAACTAAGTCACACTGAGTACAGACCCACACTGGGGAAATTGTATGTAAGCCTATGCAGACAGTGATGTTGAGTTGGCTCTTCTGGGAGCTGCAGGGGACATGCTATTTTATGATATATAATCTCTTCATGCAGCTCAGTATATGCTATCCATGAGGCTGGTTATATTAATGGGTTAGATCTGCCCTGGAGAACCTGTTAGCAAGGAGGTTTGATGTTGAGTAGACTTCAGTCTGTCCCTCTTGGCCCATCTTGAGGAAGAGGGGACACTCCTTCAGAATGTAAATGACTGGTCACTCTGTGTAACAGAGCAAGAGGTAATTTTTTGCTGGGACCCATTACCATCTGAGCCACAATGGGAAAAAACAATTACCATGAGTGGCAGCATAAGAAGTAAAAGAAATGCCAACATCTACAGCTGTGATTGTTGACTATTTAGAAACTCTGTCTGTGATGATGTCATACATCATATTTCTCATGTACTGTTCTGAGCACACAAAACGATGTCCTGCATGCAGACTAGTTCATCTCCAGCACAATACTGGCCTTTTCCGATACTAATCAATTATTCATCCATAGGTCCATGATATTCAATGTACCAACTTCTCTTCCCTGTTTGTTACCAGCTTCCCTGATTTATCAACTGGAAATTGTCTAAGCTGTTGCAGAGAACATTTTGTGTGTATGTGTGTGTTGTAGTGAAGGCTGGGGTCCCAGGTTTGCTATTACAAGGAGCAAGGATGAACATTCAGTTTGCCAAAATTATAATGAATGCAGAGATATCCTTACTCTCCACAAGACACCAAGTTATCCTCATCACAAAAAAACCTAGACACACTAAAGCACAGAGATTTCACACCAGCTGTACTCTACTTGGTGCCTTATCCCTCCTTTCAACAGGGAAGCTTACTTCTGCACTTCAGTTTCTTCTTCCTTGGTGGTGCCTGAGATGGACAAATGGATAATTCTCAGAGAATTCAATATCTGTGTGGATAGCAACAATTTTGGATTAGTTCAGGACCTCAGGACACCATAATATTCAGGAAATGCTTCCAAATAATTTACAGCTATTTCATATATTTCACTAAAAAGGTGTTATCTGAAGCACAAACCTAATGATCCGATTTTCAGTAGTGAAAGTTGTGAGGGCTGATGGAAATAAAAAACTGACTTCCTTGGTTTTAGAAAATAATTCCAGATAATGGCATGACTGCTCAGTGTATGTCTGGTTGGATGATATGATATGATACACTTTCCTTTAACAATTCATGTAGTATCTCCTATAGCACACCATTGTACTGAATATTGATTGTAGACAATGAGTACTGCTGCAGGACTAAGGCTTGCTTTCCCCTTTTCATCTGTGAAGCAATTTTAAATCCCTGTGTTAACAAAGGCAGATAATCTGTTGGGGGAAGAAGAAGGAAAGCAGACCAGTAATGAAAATGATTGCTAGTTTTAGTGAGGTTATACTGGTCTGTATTTATATGTGAAAAATGTGTGGATGATACAATATTTGTGGATTGAGTTACTCATCTGTGATGGGGACTAGTAAAAACCTGACTTGGGTATCCAGATTAGTTTTGGTGCCTCTGGGAATCAGTCACAAACAGTAGTCAGGCATGGCTGGCAGTATCTATAAAGCACATATAGCAAAGGACAGCTAATGGATCTGAACGGACTCCAATGTGCCGGGGATATAAAGCAAGAAATAACTAGGTTAAAGAAACAATAGAGGAAATACATCAAGAACAAACTTACAGGCAAAGCAGAATCTTCCTTTTTGAACCTCTGGTTTTTCGGCCATCCTTGGGTTTTTGGAAGGACTGTAATGGATTCAGAGAAAGAGACCTCATAGGAGAGCTCTTCTGTTATGGATGGGCTGCCTTTATCCAGTCCGCAATCTAGAAAGCTTTTAGCTGAAAATAAGGGAAACAATATATGAACACTCAATGTATGCCTGCATTTAGTACAGAGACATTAAAAAATGAAACAAGATGACAAAAATCTTGAGAAAGTAATAAAGGAAGTGTTTCAAAAGGAATTTCAGTGTAAACCACAGCATGTTCCTGTTTTGTCTGGAGGAAATAACCCCTTAGAAATAAAATCCCTATTTTCATTTTAGATTATTTAACTTTTTGCTTTTCGTGAGAAAGATAGTCAAGTTGGAACTTCCTGTTTGTCAGGAATTATCAAGTTTTTGTACTCCATTCTTGTCTACCTAGGCCAACAAACTGTATTGGCACTTGTCTAATGAACAATTAAAAATAAAAGTTCCTGACAGAATAATGATGTTGACACAGTTTCTCACGTCACTATTGACTTAATTATAATCATAAGACATTGTGTGTATATTTTATATGCCCACATACATATAATTCTCACAGTTGCTAGTTTAGGTGTGTAGCACCAAAACAAGACCCAATGTATAATATTCCAGTTTGAAAAACACTATATCTGCTAGAATTTCTGGTAGATATTGTGAAATTACTTATTGTTCTACTCTAAAATTTAGTCACTTGCTGAAATTAGTGGATGCCAGAGGAAAATTTTTGAAATCAGTGCAATCAAGTACAGAAAAACCCTATTGTCATGGAGTCCAAAGTGTGATAATATGCATGAGTTCCAGTGTTGCCAACTTTCATGACTGATCTCCTGGGACAGTTTTACGTTCGTTTTCCCATAAGGTCCAGCTCCTAGACTCACTTAACTGGAACAGAATCATAGTTTTCATTGGAAGTGGAGTAAAATTTCAGCCCCCAGGACTGCAGAGAAGAGTTTACAAACATGACCCAAGTGCATTCAAAAGCCATCAGAAACTGAATTAAAAAGCATTACATATTTTATAAACATGTGGATGACACATGATTTTTGAATCTTTGCATTTACAGATACAGGGACTTTAACATTTTTGCAACACCCTTGGGTTTGCAAGTCTGGTATGTGTTATTTAGTGGCTCATGGATTCTGAACTGTGGTCTTAGATGTTGCCTAATGGCCAGGTCATTTGAGATGTTTTCATCTCTCCATCCTTGGACCTGGGACCACAAACTGTTTGTGGTACCCCTGGCCATTTGGTTCACCATCTGTTCTTGTACAACTGCTTGCATAGAAAGGTATCAGCAGAGCAGCTTTTGCAACCAAGGAAAATGCCTGTGGCACTATATACAGAGGTAAACATCTAGGAGACTTGTTTAGAAACTCAGATATTAATATCCCTTTAGTTAAGCCCTGAACAATGGTGAGGGGAAGAGCTTTAAAAATAAAGGATGGACATTCCCGCGGAAGGCTGCTAACGGTTATCCAGACACTGAATTATAGCAGAGCTATAATTTTCATAAGCACTGACAGTCACTGTCAGGGCAAAGCATTTAAAGGATGTCCAAGATAACAGTTAGCAGATCAGAATAATAGGGCAGAACCAGAAAAAAAATATTAATTTCTAATACTACAGTTTCTGCAGTACTGGAGAAGAAATGTGAAGGAAATATGCATTTTTCTTGTCATGACTTGCAACAAGAAAACACACTGCTAACATATTTTGGACAAATTCCGCACTGTATTGTTTGGAGGTTATTTTTACATTCCCAGTCTTGCAACGATCAGTACTTTTTAGGCACTGATGCCTCAAGGGCAGCAGCCTGTGTCTGTACAACACCAGTCTTGAATGGAAAACTTTGGTTCCTGCATGACAATAAGCTGACAATGATTTCAAGGAAATATATGCAGCATGGCTCAAACATAGAAGAGGGGACTAACCTCTGAACCCCAAAAGGATCTTTCTATCATTTTTCTAGGAGGAAGTAAATGCTTGTTACACATTGGCATACTCACAGCTAACTGATTTCCAAACTGGCTTCTGCCCAGGAAGCTGGATACCATTAGAAGGAACTGGTGACACTGGAACTGTCTCAAATGTGGGCTGATAGGCAAGGAAAAATGATCAGACTGCAGTGAAGGTAAAAGTCTATGGACAGAAACTGCTATAGTTCAAGCAACAGCGTTATCATTCTCAGGTTACACTCTTTTGCCATGTTTAAACAACCTGTTGTGATTTGCCAGAGTACATTTTTCATAGCCAAGCATGAGAATTAATATTCCTCAGGCTGCACAGATTTGGATCAAGTTGAGGTCAGTAATATTGCAGCTCACTGTAGCTAATGAGTCCTGTCCTATATAATGACTGAAATTAGCTAAGTAAATTGCTGTACCTAATTGTACTAAACGAAAGGTCCTTGTCAAATTGTAATCCATCCTACTTTTAATTATTTTGCCCACAAATCTTTTTGAGGATTGTCTGACACATGACGAATGTCCACTGCTCCTAAGCACCTGTCAGAATCCAGGCTGTTCACTGCTTTTCAGAATTTGGACACCAGCAGATTACTAATGGATGGATGTCCTCCCCTAGATTATATACTAACACTTTACCAGTGAACTGCAAAAAGAGTTTTGGGGGAAAAAAGACCTTGTCTGTGGTCAAATTAATTTCTTTCCACTCCAGAAATCATTCTACACTGTGTGAAAATGGGGGAAGTGTGTGCGACACAGCAGAGAAGGGACTCTGAAGCCCAGGGGTGACTTTCAAGCACTGTCACCTCTTCTTGGCAGCTGAGTTTTGCCTTTGTTCTCAGCAGTTTTGGGACTCATCATAAGAAAAATCTGAGTGTTTGTGTGTACATGAGGCAGCAGTAGCTCATCTGCATGCTCTTAGGTAAAAAGTAAGAATTTAAAAAATGCTCTGAAGAGTACTCAGTGAAAATAACTTCAATGCCCCAAACCAGCCTTGTAATTTTTCTGCTGTCCTTTGCATCCTGGTGGGAGTCCTTGGAGCCCCTCCTTTCTCAAACTGACTGCCTCACTGGCCCTGAGCCTGATGGAGCAGCCTCAGCTTTCCAGTTGAACTGATGAGTCCACAACAGCCAATCTTTAAACTGCTCTTTAAATTGCTAAATCAGCTGTTTATCAACAAGCAACAATGCTTCGGGGCAGAAATTTTGTCTTCCCATTTGTAGCCAATGCACAGGAGAAGCATTCAAGCTGCTAAAAATGTCAGATACTTAAAAGACAGGCAGCTCTTCCAATTGGAAACCTGAAATAATGTTGCAGTTTTATTCAGTCTTATCCTCTGAGCTATTTGAGTAACAAAGTCAAATACAACATAAATAAAATCTCTCCTGAGAGAATACATTCAGTGGCCCACAAACTTGATAGCAAACAGGATTGCAGTCACATGGACTTCCTTTGCCAGAAGACTGAAAGGGCCATTGATTTTTTTTAAAGGAGAACTATAGGATGCTTTTATGATAAAATCCCATATGATTTATACAAAAGGCTTTAGGACATAAAAAAGTGAGATAAATTCAGTTGGGAGTATGGAAGTAGGGAGGATTGTTAAACTTGCCTCAGCAATTTGGGAAAATCAAACACACAAGTAGTTTTTCTGCTTATTAAGATCCAGTGGAGAAAATAATGGTCAATATTAACAACCGGCTCATCTAATTCCACTGCTCAAAGTATCTAACCCTGAGAATGGCATTCTGAATAGATTTACAGTAAATCAGGTTTATTAAGAAAAAAAAATCCTTCCAGCCTCTTTACACAGGTGAAATCAATAGGGAAGAAAGTAGCAACCAGGTTTTGCTAGAACTGTGGAGCTGGTGAAGGGGAGCTGACAGCACAATTTTGCCTCACACCCAACAGTGCTTGCAACAGCTTGTGGCAAGTGAGTATTGTGAACCATGCACAGTATCAGGGCAGCTAAAAATGCCATATTCTTGGTCTCATTTCCCAACCTCCACAGGGAGAGTGTATAAAGAAGCCAAATCTATGTCTCTTTTGAGAAAATATCTTCCAAACAGGACCGACACCCCTTCCCCCTTTTTTTTTAATCTTAGGATAATATGATGAAAAGAAAGGAAAGACTGTGAATAAAACCTTTTTAATGCATCTATTTTAAAGATCCATATTGTTTCTTTAATAAAAAAGAAGATTAAAAAACTTTGGAAATTCATGTCTCAATGGATGTGAAAGGCCAAGAGTCAAATTGTGTCCTTGACTAAATCAGGACAGCTTTATTCATTTGGCTGAGGCTCCAGCAAAGGCAAGACTTCACATAGCCTGACTTCTGACTGAAAGTGATTCATTAGACAGTTCTCATTATCCAATACTAAAAACGAGACCACATTGGCACAATGTACACAGGAATTTCTAATGGGAAGAAGAAACCAGAAGAGAAAGGAAAAGATGGAGATGAGGTAGATAGTTCTTTAGTAGCTACTGTCATTGTAGAAGATGTAAAAACAAATCATTGGAGCACCAAAGCAACCAAATTCTATTGTCAGCCCTACAGCTAAGGGAAATAAAGGCAAAGGAGGATAGCCTTCTAGCTTTGGTCAGGAATACAAGTTGCCCATGCTTTGGATATACTCATATTTCTGAGTAATGTCATCACAAATATGTTTCCATGCAAATAGCTCTGGGTTAGTTAGTGATTCTTCTTTAATTAGGACATGATTTTCTCATGCATTGCTCAAGTAAATTACTCCTGAAACTCTTGAGGAGTGTTAGTTGATCACAAGGTACAGGGTTGGGCTGTCATCGTCCCCCCGTCACACCTCTTGTATTCTGCTGTTAATTTTTCTAGGCTTTGAGCACTAACAGAGCTGATATTTTCTGATGGAAACAGTGGGGTAACAGTATTAAGGAAAATTAGGCCACAGTGATTAATAAACCATCCAGCTGAAATCTCCATAGTGTGGCTGTCAGTAGAGCCTTCTGTATGTAGGCCAGTCTGATGCAGAGCGGAGGCACATCAGCTGGGGCAGGCTGCCCCACTGAGGCATCACACTTGGAGGGGAGAGGCATGGTGGGTGCTCCATTTTGCCTCCAGGGATCATAGCACCTTTCCAGGGTGGGCCACAGAAAAAAAAACCCAAAAAAACCCAACACTAAAAAAAAGGGGAAATAAAGATTCATTTCCTTTAATTTCAGTCCACTTGGGCTGTTAAAGGAACACTCTTGCCCTGAGGGGATGGACCTCAAGATAGGATGGGGGAAAAGCATCCTTTGCTCTGTGGCGACTAACACAAATGTGGGCCACCGCAGTAATAGCAAAACATCTACCAGGCAGGGTGGTTGGTTTGGGTTTTTTTTTGTTTGTTTGTTTTTTGTTTGTTTGTTTTCTGTTTGTTTGTTTGGTTGGTTGTTTTGTTTTGTTTTTTGTTTTTTTCAGAACAGAAAAAAAGAAATTAGGGTAAATCTATCCCTGTCTCTTCCCCCACCCCCAGATGGCAACTATTTACGCCTCTTCAGTGGTCACCTAAATCTCATCTCAGGTGACCCTAGTGAGCTAATCACCTTTTCTCTTGTCATTAGCCACAGAAGAGAGTAATCCATCCTGTGACCCATCCCTCTAGGCTCTTGCAATGCTTAGGTTGTTGAGAAGAGGGTGTAAATTCATCCTCCTAATGGGGAGGATTATGGAGTTATGTGAAGCAATTACAATTGTTTTGCTATTTGCAAAATGTTTGCTTCTTCCCTTCCCAACTAAAAAGCAGGATGGGAATGCAAAACTCCTGTAGGTCATTTCAAATAGTCTTTTTACCAGCCTGTCTTCAGCATCTGTGCTGAAAATATTTACCCCTTCTTGTTTCTTGTTGCTCTTCTTTTTTTGGCTTTTTTTTTCTTTTTTTTTTTTTTTTCTACTGCAGCTCTCTTTCCCAAACTGATTCATCACAAAAATTCACTGACCACAGTAGCCTCATGCCCAAAGAGGCAGTGGAGCGTGAAGGACTTTTTCAGCTGATACCCCCCTTACAAAGGACTCCTTGGGAAACCCTCAGGTGGGGGCATAAACTACCTTTGCATTGTATCTATCCCTGAGGAGCTGATAATTAGGACAAAATTTCTAAATCCCATAATAATCAGCAGAGATAGAAGTGATGGTCAATGTGAATGCACAGAGGGTGTTGGGATCCTTGCAGGCTTCTAGAAATACAATCTGTTTTGCAGTCCATCAGAGGGAGGTGACAGTGTGTTTTGCAGCTGAATTCGTGTATCTGTGTTTAGCATTTAGGTAAGCACCCTGCAGAACTGCATATTTTGTGGGAAGAAGAATCAGAAGTCTTAATTACTTTTTCAGTCTTATCTTTCAGTCTTTCTCAATGCAGAGCTAGTAAGTGAGCTGAGTGTCAGAGAAGGTAAAACAGTGATTTGAAGGGCAATGGCCCTGAAGCTCCTGATTCCTTTATCAAGTGGGAAACAGAGGTGAAAAATAAGCAGGTCAAAACCAGATCAATAATGTGCCCATCTGAGAGAACGGGTATAGTATTTATTTGGCTGATTGAAATTCATTAGAAAACTTAAGCTTTATTATAATTTAAATAAAAATTAAACACATTAAAGTTTCCAGATGAGTGAATCAGGAGAAGTGTGCTAATCTAATAAGAAATACCATCAGCTTTTTAATGTTCATGCAAACATGCCTGATGATTTCTCATGCAAGAAAGTCTGCCCACAGGAAACTACTGGATGCTTCTGGATATTGTGGGATATGTGCAAGAGGTTCAAAAGAGCCCAGATACTTAAACTGGAGACAAATAAGTTAACTCCCCAACCATTATGTCTTTGAGACCTGTATCTAGTGGGGTCCCTCAG